ACAAGATTACTCCAACTCAGCAGAGCATTTAATGCAGAAGATATTTGGTTGAAATTTATTAAACAAATTATAAAAGCAATAATTCCGGGACTTCAAATAGAAGATTTAGACTTTGATAAAATTATAATTCTTTTCGATTATAAGTTTAGTAAATTGAATCGAACATTTATTTTTCTCGCCAAATACAATATATTTCCCATCGAATATTAATTTTAAATTTTATGAATGTATTATCACCAGAGTTGGAAAAATGTAATTACCTAAATTAACTTCTTCGATTAAGGATGTCAAAAATTAGTCATGTTGGCATTTGTGCTAGTGATTGTTAGACAATCACAATGCCACAGAACGAACAAACTAACATATACCGGCAAGTTGGCACATATCGCAACCAAAAGTAAATTCCACCGTTTAAAAGGAAAATATTTTAACCTGAATATAATGACCCTTGTTCATTAGTCATTGTAAAAAAATTGAAAACATAATCGTGTGTTCTTGTAATTATGTGAGCTGAATGCAGTTTTGGAGGAAATGTGACTGAAGTCGAGATGGTACTCCGCCGAAGAAGAGTATCATAATATTCAGCTTTCGTCGTGAGGGACCGTCAGAAAAGAAAAATAAAGGGAATGGAGAGATAGGGAGAGGAAGCGGAATATTATGAAGGGAAATGGACGAATGGGTGAAGGGACGACCGCCACAGGGCAGAGCTGCAGCAGAGGGAGTCTGCTCGAGAAGAAGGTTTCGCAGGGAAGGCAGCCGATGTGGCTTCTGGTGACTAACACGCTATAAACTGGATTCCTATTCCACCCCTTCCGTTCCACCCTTTCCTCCCCTCCTCCCTCTCGCCTCCACCTGCAATGCACTGCTCCCACCCTCTTCTTTTCCACTCACTTTCCTCATTTACCCCACACTACATCACAATTTCCTTCACCGTCCCTCACATTCCCCCTTTCCAGCCACTCATTCCTACCTGACTCTTTCAGTCCCTCGCCTTTCAGTCCCGTTCCTCACTCAAACGTTCCTCCTCCATCTGTCCTTTTCATTTTCGCACGCTCTCCCGTCCAATCCACCCATCTTCCTCCGCTCCCTCCACTTGGCCTCTTCCTCGCCAACCCCTCCCCAGCACCCTCGGGCGCTCCAGCCCCGTGCGTGACCTCGCGCCTCGCGGCAGGTCAGGTTAAAAGGACACTTTATCCCTCCGTCGCGCGCGCCGCCGGCAGATGTTTGCACAGCCCCCTGCAACTCCCAACCGCCGCCCACGGCCCCCGGCAGCAAATTCACAGCAGCGACCCAAAGCCTCGCTTCGCCCCCGCCCCGCCAGCCTCACCTTGGTCCAAATTCAGTTGCCACGCGCCGCCGACAGGGGCGCGCGGAGCAGCGAGTAATTAAGCGCGCGGCAAGCGTATAAGGGACAAACATCGGGGTTGAGGGGCGCGATTTTTTAATTATTTTTTTGACAGAAGTTTTCGACCTGTAGTATACTTTTAATTCTGTCAGATATTGGTCAGGAAAATTTCTTTTTACAGGATGAGTTAAAAATATATTTTACAAGAAACCTTAGTCTAACTCATTTTTTGTTTCAATCCTTATTTTTTTAAAGGCTCTGCTCTTAAATAAGAAAATAAAAACAAACGACTTGAGATTTAATCAGTAAATCCTATTTCTTCACAAATATACTTGATGCAAAATCTAAATGTTACGCATATTACCAGGAATTAAGATTTCGGGAGAAAAGATCAACTTATTTGTTGATATGAGGAAATGAATTACGTTTTATACCTCAGGCTTCCTTCCTTAACATACATATATTCCCTTCACTAACAAAGCATTAAAGCGTTTAATGATCGAATAATAAAACGATAGCTTCTAGAATGGGGTAATTTAAAAGGTTATCTATGACAATTAAATCTGCCATACTTAAACGTATTATATCTACTTAGGTTAGGTTATTCAGGTTATTCTAGGACTCAATCCAGAACGAGGCAAAGTAAGGACACAGTACATGTTTTATTGCTCATCATATTAATCTTCTCACTTTACAAATCAACACATTACAACGCTCTCAAAAGTGTCCAAAAGGAAAAAACCGTACCACGCGCATAGCAAACTAGAAAAAGTTCCGGAACTTAACCCCAGGAGTGCGGTAGCCAAACTGGATGAAATCTGTACCGAAAAAATAAACATGCGTCATTTTTCCTTTACTAATTATATTCCTTCTGATCCGCCATTTTTCTGCAGTGATAAAAATGATAAAATAACCGTGTAAAATGAGCTTAACGTGCGCGATATTCCAATGTAATCTCCTGTAAGCCACTGAGAATCTGATCGCACGAGGAGCCTTGGTGGTCGCGAGCAGTCGGCAGGTGCATCGAAGCGCCCGCAACCCTTGCCGCTCTGTAGCAGATAAAAGCGCAGCCCTGCCCGGCTGCCTGAAGGCTGAAATATGGGCGTGAATAAACAAGCGCCGCGCCCACAAAGCCTGCTTTCCTCGCCCCCCCCCGCCCCCGCAGGAATACGACGCAGTAACCGCCTTGACGAAATCAGAGCGCGCGACGGCTCGCGGGAGTAGAGTGGAATAGAGGAAAATTGTAACAAAGACATTTCATCTAGAAGTTACACCAATGTTAACACCTTCAAGTGGAAATTCACTTCTGGAAGAAGGAGCACATGCAGAAAATTCTGATTTTCAGGTTATATTATTAAATATCTGAAGGTTAAACAAGTAAGGCAATATTGAGTTGTAAATTTGTTTGCAAAAATTCCGAAAAACTCTCACAAAAAGTTGTTGCCAACTTTCCTCTCTGGCCCTCTCTGGCGTGCGGTGGTTTACGTTACCTTCGCCCATTTCTGGGGAAGAATTTGCCCCGCAGGCACTCGCACAGCTCGCTTCCTTTATATTCAGAATCAAGGAAAAATCTCCACACACGTCGTTTAGAACTACGAAAATACAGCAGAAGGTGGGTCTGCATGACATCTATCGCCATGTAAGGAGTAGTCGAACATAACGAAAGAGTAATTCCGAGATCTCTTACACTGATGATGAAAATACTTACGAAACGAAATATCTTTTTTATCACAAGTCAACGATTTCAAGATAAAATTTATCTTAAGAGATAAGTAAATTAAAATAGTTAATTGATGACAATGTAAACAACACAAAATAATCAGCTCGGAGTAAGATCAAAACCAGATACGAAAATGATTGCTCAAGACATGACTTAGATTGGGAAAAATCGCATTATGTATTGTTTCTTTAATATTTTCTATTAGTCACAAACTGCTAGAATTAAGTGTTTTTGACTGGCGTCTCTTTTCAAATCATTTCTTGGTACTTGAGAAAAAAATTACAAATATGTAATAATTATTTGTTTAATAGTAGTAAAATATGAATAATTACAATTTTAAATGGTTCATACGATGTTTATTAATACTACAAAATAATTTAACCATTTATTTAGTATTACCTCAGATAAAAAGAGTTAGCTTATCGAAACATAAATCCAAAGTTCATCAACTACTCTTCTACAGCTTATGTAATCTCGCAAAAATTGCGGCAACGCGCCCATTCATTCAATATATTCGAAGTACATCGTTACTCTAAACGTTCCGCTTGCAAAATCTTGTAGTTTGCCTCTCGGCGAAGAAGTCGGTGTGGTGGGTTGGCGGCGGTGGCGCGGCGGGTGGGCGAAATTCGCACTGCGGAGGCGAGAGACTGGGGCGCGGCGCATAACTCGTTGCTTACAAGTGGAATTTCCGACGTCCTGAAGTATTCACCGCTTTTTATGCGCCTTCGGGCCGGAAGCGCTCGGGTGAATTCACCGGAAGTTCTCTCTTTTTTCTCCCTTTCCCTCGCGGCGCCGGAAGTGCGGAGTTGTTTCCCTCCCCGGGTCCTCTTTCGCAGCGGAGTATCACATTCACGCGGATTACAGATCTTGCTCCCATAGCCTCCACGTGACGCCCCTTGGTCCAAATGGACAGTGGTTTCATTTGAAAAAAGTGTATGGTTTATGCGATTATGCGATAGCCACATACACCGGACGGACGGACGGACGGACGGACGGACAGACAGACGCACAAAGGGACGGACTTTTCGAAAACAATACTTTTTTGATATCAGGGGACTCCAAAACAAATTTCCGTGAACTCTCGAAATCGATTTTCCGCAGCATTACACAACTTTCCTTACACTGCGTATACTACTCCGTATATACGTACGTACACGAAAAGTAAAAATTTATAAATGAAAAAAGGGTCCATTGTTCTTTCCTCGGTACAGACTATGTATCAACAAATTGAAACTTACATCTTCATTGCAATTTCATTGATGTAATGTCTGAAATGGGAATTTTGAACAGTCGTGCATGAGTAACTTCGTTATTCCATATTTTGTTTTCCATTTAATACTAGAAAACGTACGCCGAATAATATAACTATCCTCACTACACTTCTCTACTCTCAATACAAAGCACGCGCGAGTATAGTTATTTATGCACCAAGGGCGTTACGGTCTTATGATCGAGCGACGACAAATATACCAGAGGGCCTTCGGTCCGAGATCAATAGATCCATTAACACCCGCGGTAATACACAATTTTGACTTCTTACCTAATTTTAATGATTCAGGTTTACTTAATTTCTCATTAAATAGATCTTAACTTGACGCCGTTTATCTTTTTATAATTCCCTCACATAATTTCCTTGCATAATTCCATAATAAGAGAACACGTAGCATCATGCAACTCTAGTACTCTCTTACTCACGATCCCTTCGATCCAGATAAGTTATTTATAATATATATCGATCTCAGTATCAAAGTCAATAACAAGGAATAACGTATCATCAAAAAATAAATATAATAATGACGCTATATAGCTAATTTCAAGGATTTAAAACGAAATTAAATATAATTTTGTAAAATATGCCTTATTCTTCCTCTGACACAGAAATATACAGAAGAAAAAATAATTAAATTGACAATTTAAGAGAATCTGGAGACTCACCGAAGGCCACAACAGCAGATCAGAATAGCTGCACAAAACACGGCAAGCAACGCAACACGTCAAGTAAGTGTTCATACCTACAACACCAAGAAAAAAATTAAGAAATGATCAGACAGTGGATACAATTATACACAATACATTACAATAGTGACATGTAAATATGTGAAAACAACCAGTTTGAATCAATTTTAATTCCTAAATTTTAAATATAAGTAGTATATTTTTAATTAATTTTTACATTGTTACTAATTAAAACATTTTATTTCTACTCTAGTGGTCTATTCCATTACATTATTTCCTAAATTATGTTTTAAAAATAAATAGACGTAAAATAAAACCTCGTTCCGAACTGCAGCGTGGAGTGGAAGATACCCGTGTTCAAGAGCGCAATACCTACCCTCACCAGCGTTCATATTAAAATCTTAATCTTACCATGAAATAAATTTACTTTCTTTGCTTGTCCTACATCTTAAGGAATTTTAATTATCATAATTATATCCAACATCTTAAGGGATTCTAATTATCATAATTATTTCCAACTCACCGTTCAAGAGAGGCTGTCGTTCGACAATATGGCGATCTTGAGTTCAAAGAACGTTGAATTTTCTTTTTAATTTTATTTCACCTTAAATATAGTTGTTAACGAAGGAACGTGATATTACCAATTAAAAGATTCTCTCAATCGCCAGATACAAATGCTTATGACGATATACTTGTAAAACGACACAAAAGAACTGTTGTACACCACACAAAACTTGTACCTGCGAGCACAAGGGTCTTCTGAGATCTAACGGCACAACAGGAGTTCGAAAGGGAAATGCGTTCGAAATCTGCACCAATCACAGATCAGTTTGTTTGCTCATGCGCACAGTAGCCATTCAGAAGGCAGGTGCCAAGAGCCACCCCTCTCCCAACCTCCTCCCTCGGTAACTGTTTCGGAACAGTCGACAGTCGCTGTCGGCAGACGGCCACCCGCTCAAGGCCACCTGCTGGCCGCAACGGGAGGGGGGGAGGGGACGAACGAAATAAAAATGTTTCAAGAAGAACAGTACGTTGACTATTTTCCCAACAAGACGATATTGACTTCTTTCCTATAAGTCTTATGTACGATCTAATATTAGCTTCTGTAATACACACGATAATGTTTTGATTTCTTTTTTGATTTAAAAAGAATATCATTATGATTTGAAATACACTTAAAACTATCATATAGAGTGGCTCACTTTAATATTCGGACACCCAGACATTCTCCAGAAATGTAAGTTCTGCAATACTTTGACGGGTGTAAGAAAGATATACAAGCAAGAAAGTTAAACAGAATCGTTCCTATTAACGAATATTATTAGTTCAAACAAAAATGCCGACTATAGTTGATGCATTCAATAAAAAAGAAGAAAAACATTTTCTGGATTCATTAGTCACAGTAATATTCTGTCACGTGAAATGAAACATTATATAAATGAATAAATAAAATAAAAGAAAATTATTACTTAGTAGTATAACCATTGTTGTCAATGACTTGCTGCAATCGCTTTGGCATTGAACCAATAATCCTCTTCAGGTTGTGTTGTTCAATTTGTGCCCATTTTTCCTTGATTCTCGCTTGCAGATGAAACTGACATAATTAGGACTCTTCTGACTGTGCATTCCAATTCATGCCATAAATTCTCGATTGGATTGAGGACAGGAGACTGAGGTGACGTTTCCAGCACTATTGGACAATTGTATGACAACAATTTCATCACTAAATATGATTTGTATTTCGGGTCGTTATCTTCACAAAATTTAAACGAACTCCTGATGCCAAGTGTGTCAACAGACTTTTGTAAATTATCTTTCAGTGTGCCTCCTTTGTCGGTGTTTGAATTTAACATTTATTTGTGTTTTACGGTTAACACTAAGATCACAGGAAATGAAACTAGCTTACTACGCGAGGGATCTGCGCTAAGAAAAACTGGGGCATAGTTCAGCAGTATTGGTTGTGAAAATATTCACGGTGTGGCGATACGCCACTAGATACCCTCTCGTGACTGCATTATGGAGTCAGTTGTCAGGTACTGCGCCAAATTTAGCTTTTTGTTTCCTCTACTAATACAAAGAAACGATCCACTAAAATGTTCAAGTACAGTAAGGTTTCGAGATGTCAATTGAGACATATATTGAATAAAAAGGATTTTGATGTTTTAATCGTGTTTATCTTAAGAGTGCAATGATAGCATTAACTTTCTACGTTTAGATTTGGAAGTTTAACAAAAAATATGTCTGTTGAAGACGCTGCATGGCCGTAAGCAAGAATTGCTAAATTATACACATTTGTTCGTAACGTTATTGCTGCATATGCAAATAACTGAATGATTAAATAAACACTCAAACGAGTTTACCATTCACACGCATTTATCCTCCTTAGCAAAAATATTTACTGGCGGAATTTGAAAAAAAAAATATACATGCATTGGTAATACATAGTAAAGAATGTAATCAAAATGCAATGCCAGCGGTTTGGTAAAACAAATTATCTGTTCGACAGAGATGTCCGTCACGTGTCCGCTACATGCCGTGCGCATTACACACCGTGTGTGCATTGCGAGTTGCACGATTTAATTTGTAAATAACACGTCTTTTCCACCCACCCCTCTAGGAGTATCTTATATCCATAGACGTCTTTTCCCCGTTGTAATTCCCTAACAATAGTGTATTGCAATATTATTTAGTTGGTTTGTTAGCAGTGAAAGGATTGGACAATTAATCAGTCACAGCATTTTATATTGGATAACTCGTTACGAAGGACCAGCACCTTCAGGTATGTGCGTACCATTTTCTGTAGTTAAATAACTTCAAGAAATGTTGATACTCCTTAGGAGATTGAAAGAACACAAATGAAGACAATAAATACATATAATTTAAGTAATGGATAAATTAATGAAGTTGCAATTGTGCAATTTCATCTCTTATGAAGATGATTAAATTTTGTACGCACTGAAGTGTAACATTGAAGTAATGACAAAATTACTGTCCTTGTCATCCAGCATTACCTCACACAAGTAAAATATAATTTATTTGATCTCAGGAAGGGCACACAACCCATCTATTTTGAAAAGATAGAGCAAAAGTTACGGCATGCAGTAATATCCATGATCACGTGCTCAACGTTGATGTGACCTCCTACTCTTTGCAAGGCGTCACATCACGCCCTCATGAAGCGTAACTGCCGACTGACGTCTTCATAATGCAGTCACGAGACAGGTATCTATAGCGTATTGCCACCCCGTATATATTTTCACAACCAATACTCTTAAACTACGCCCCAATTTCCCTTAATGCATTGCACGTGCGTATAAGTTAGTTTCCTTTCCTGCGATCTTGAAATATTTGGTATTAACCGTAAAAAACAAATAAACATTCAATTTCAGATATAATTGATGGTAAAAAACCTGAAAATATCTAAAAATGAAACAAAATGCAACCCAATGCGTACAGACAAGGCCCAGAAAGTAATCGTACTGTCAACGTAATGAAGCAAAACGGAGTAGCAATCAATGGATTTGATAACCTTCTCTAATTTTCTTAATGCACGAAGAACTGATAAGGAGCATAGCATGGACAGTTCTCAGCAAGTTGCTATCTCATCGTTAAAGGTGAAAAGACACAAACAGCACAGAAACTAGTGACGCTACAAGAAAATAAATTAAGCAAATACCTAACATGTCAATTCCTTGCTTAAGTTATCTGATTACGTGAATAGACCACGTTGAACATAACAATCAATAATTGGAAGGTTAGTGACCATAAAACAATGGACAATGGACCCCGGGCCCTCGGAGGCGAGGGACTGGGCGTGGGGTGGCGAGCGACAGGAGACGAGGCTTGGAGAGGAGGGTCGGGGCGTGGCGGGGAGGTCGACACGTGTGCCCGAGGCCTATCTCCGCCATGGTGTCTGCAAGGGGGGGGAGGGGGCTTGAAATTGAAATGTAAACCTGGCGGCGGCGCAAACGACGTCGCGGCTGCCGATGGTGAGTTTTATGGTTCCGGTTCCCCGTCCGCCACCAGGCGTCGCACGGAGCATCGGACGCCGCCCGCACACCGCGAGGGGGAGGGTGAGGGGGAGGGGGAGCCACCGACGCCTCTGCTCGGGAACGAGACCAGCGCACGACGGGATAGAGAAAGGAAGAAAACGCACGAGAGGACTCCCATGGAAGACTGGCGACTGATTAGGTCGAAATATAAACGTTTCAGCTTCAACAGCTCATACTTTCTCCTATGATTGACAACGGTTACCTAGTAGTGTTATGCAAGGCGAGTCACACAACTTTCAAACCTCCTGCCATTTTTGAAACGCATGTATATCATTGCATTCGTTTTTTACGCTCCTTATGATACACTAAAAATATGTATAATTCCATTAGCAAACGTTGCCTCAATATCTTGTAAATGCAAGTGATGAAACGGAAACGAATACAAACATCAATTAGCCCCTTTCCCTCATACACTTCCTTTCAAAAACTATAGGAGGGGCTCAAGTTACGTGCCTCGCCTGAATACGAATGCATATACATCTTATCTTATTTCGTAACACTACAACCTTCAATTTGAAACCGGAAAACGATATAACGCAAATTTCGATTAACATTCCCAATCCTTCAAAGAGTTATGAATGACCCTGTTGAAATCTTTAATTTAAAAGAACAGATTTCATTAACAAAGAAACTTCTGACTTCAATTTTGCATTTGATGGAGACGATCGAAAAGAATTACATAAATGATTCACTTCCGCCTCAAACTTTTCGACATCGATTCTTGTTAGCATTACATACTGGCAGCATTCCATTCATTCTGGCAACATATGCCCAATTATAGAATAAAGCTTCTATCTTTTTTTCCTTTCTCTGAGAAGCAAAGGGCGTGCAAGGACTAATCGAGTGCAGCTCCACAGAGAGGAATGGAACGTGGAAGGTCACGAAGTGCGTCGAGAGGGCTGGAATACAGGGCGTAGGGATGGCTCTTCAGGTGGAATCACAGTTAAAGCAGGAGATGCAGATGTGGAGAAAGGCATGCAATTTGGAAGTGATGGGTGAAGAGA